CATCTCTCTCAGGAAGAGGGCCTCCTCGTCTTAAAGTGGCCGCCCTTTAGCATGCCAAGGCCTCCCGGACCTGCCACCTCTGTGTCACAAGCAAATACAAGTGTGGGGCTCCGTCATTATCAGCACTGTCAGCATCTTAAGGAACGGTCCTTTTTTCTTTTTTTTTTTTTAAATTCATTTGCTTTTGTTTCATTCTTCCAGGTCTTTCTACTCAATTATAACCTTTTCGAGGGCAAATCTTTCAACTGCTGAACTGTATGCCCTTGTATGTTTATAAAAGGCATTTGTTTGGTTGGCCCTGACTTGTTTGGCTCAGTGGATAGAGCGTCAGCCTGCGGACTGAAGGGTCCCAGGTTCGATTCCCGTCAAGGGTACGTGCCTTGGTTGTGAGAACATCCCCAGTGGGGGGGGAGGGGAGGGGAGGGTGTGCAGGAGGCAGCTGATCGATGTCTCTCTCTCATTGATGTTTCTGACTCTCTATCCCTCTTCCTTCCTCTCTGTAAAAAAAAAATAATAATATATATGTTTTTTTAAAAAATCATTTATTTGGAAAGTTAAAAAAGAAATACACCTCATCACAGCTTTGCCATTCTATGGTGTGCTAGATCCCAAAGGCTCAAGCTGTGACACGAATTACTAAATCCCATGACAATGTGTTAACAAAGAACAGCCAGCACACACTGTATGCCATGCACGTGTACATAATCTCGTGTAGCCTTTACACCAATCCCGTACGGCAGGTGCCATCATCTCCACAGACACGCAGGGTGACCTGCGGAAGGAGCAGAGCTCTCCAACGGCAGAGCCAGGATCTGAACCGCGGCCGATGGACAAGAGCCCGGCTGCAGACAGCTTCCTTATGCAGAGAAGAAACATGAGATTAAAAAACGCATTACACGTAATGGAGCACGGAAAAAGCCTCTTAAGGAAAATTGCTCTTATTACTTTAACTGGACTGTTGTCTTTTATCAGACAGATCCAAGTGGTGGGATCACAGTCCAGGGAGGGAACCGCTCCTGGCCGGTGCGGGCTCCTTACGCAGAAGGCAGGAAACCCCAATTTTCAAAGTTGTGCCTTTTTGCCATCTCTGACCACCTTGATCGAAGCTGGTCTGTGAGTGTTGCAGAAATGGTCCTCTTTGTGGCCAGGCTATTTGGATTTGAGGGAGAGAGAGGTGGGAGAGATGGAATGATAAGACTGTTTGGGTTGGTACCAAATCTCGCCCCATCCAGAGGGATTCAGGTGAGCTCTAGGCCGCCCCTCTGATTTTGTCTGAACCAACAGAGCCACGCAGGGCAAGCAACCCACATAGGGCAGCAAGAAGGTGCCACTTATCCTAGCTACGGCAGGTAGACCAGGGATGCTGGACCAGAGTTCCCCTACACGGCTCCTGCCCCAGCACTCTCTTCCTTCCCCTTTGTCAGGCAGGACGCCCCAGGGCCACGCCGGACCCTGCAAACCTGTGCCCTTTGATGTCAGCACACCCACACGTACCAAATGTTTCCCATCAGGCATCCAGCCCAGGCAGAGCGGAGTCCTGTGGCTTTAAAACCCAAACCAGGGCTCTCCTCTGTGATGCAGAAGTAGATCCTGGAGATCAGCTCTCTCCAGTTCTGACAACTCAGTAACTTCTAATGGGATAGATCAGAAATCCCCAAAGTCCAACTCTTCACCCCTTTCCAACTACTTCTCACAATCTCTCTCTCCAGAAATCGGAAAAATGTCTGCCAACAAAACAAAAAGCAAACCTACTTCAAACAAGTCTAACTGCCTTCACTTCAGGATTATGTTTCCTCACAAAACTGCTCTTATAAATTCAAAGTTCTTGTATCATCTAATTACAATTCCTGTACAGCTTTTTATATGCGTGTACTTGGAAGCCAAAAAAATGAGGCTTCCATTGCTTTTGCACCTACCACTAAAGCAAGTGGGAACAAGAGGATCAATAATTCCGTCAAGAATTATTTTAAAAGATGCTGGAATTCTTTTATTTGCTGTTTTCGCACAGCTCCAGTCAAGATGCGAGAAGCTAGGCAAAATGCAGGCTGAACATATATGGTCATCCCCAGACTTGCTTACTACACAAAAGGGGAAATTAATAAAAGAAGAAATACCACACAGCATTTTCTTTCCCCACCATAATTTTTCAATTTTCTTTAGAGAAATGCCAGCCAATAACTAATTAGAACCATATCCTTTGTTATCCCAATGGGAAGTATACGAATGGTCTTAAAGAAAAAAATGTTAATGAGGGCTTTTAAAAAATTAGTAATCTGGAACTTTGGGTTTATCTTCAGTGTAAAACAAAATTTCTGTTCTTTAAAAGCTATTTTCGTAGTTGGTGAAACACAAACATGGTCCATCAACAAAAAGGTAACTGTTGCCCTGGCCAGTTTGGCTCAGTGGATAAAAGCATGGACCTGTGGACTGACAGGTCCCGGGTTCCATTCCAGTCAAGGGCCCAGGTTTCGGGCTCCGTTCCCAGTAGGAAGCGTGCAGGAGGCAGCTGATCAATGATTATCTCTCATCGTTGATGTTTCTATCTCTCTCTCCCTCTCCCATCTTCTCTGAAATCAATGAAAATATAATTTAATAAAATTTTTTTTAAAAAATAAGTTGTTCATCCACCCAGCACCCTGAACTAGGGGTGCCCTGAACTTTTCACTGTTCTTATCATGGAATTGGCATCACAAGCACCCCTATCTCCCACAAGAAAGACAAAAGCTGAAAATTACTGAAAAGGAATTCGTACATCTCTGGTGTCAAGAGGGAAAGTGAGTGCACAGCTTTTGTAATTTTCAAGAGTATGTTTTCCATGAGAAACACAGCCGGAGTCCTGTTACCTGGTCGTGTCACCTCAAATAAGAATGTTTCTGGCATGGGATCTTGAGTTACCTATTCATGACCATCCAAGAACAGAAACCACAGCCTCAAAACTGGACTTGTTTTAGAGAACTAAGTACACAGAAAAACTCTGAGCAAAAAATAAAATGTTTAAAGACGAACGCACCATGGTTTGAGCATGTGTAGCATTCTGAGCTATATTGTCAACTGAGGGTCTGCCTTCTGTCATCCAGACTCATCCGGGTGGAATCAGCAGGTGTAGGCTGGGGCCTTAGACCACTTTTTTTTTTTTTCCATGCAAAGCAGGCATGGCCTATGTCATATCAAATATTCTTTTTTTTATAAAAAGCTTCAAGCATGGTGGAAACATCTCAATTTGCTCCACAGTTTTACTCTCCAACGAATTTATTTTCCCCACTGTGAAAATCACAGTAGGCGCTAGGTCTGTCACATTTTATCATCACTGTATGCTTGCAAAAGCTGGAAGTCACCAGGGTTGCCCAAAAGGACATGATTTACACAGACTCTGGTCTGTAACAGACACTTGTCATAAGGATGGAAATATTACTTGGTAAATCACTTCCTGAAGATGATTCCTCCCCAAAAGGCCTATAAAAACAACCCCTAAGGAAACAAAGGGTTCCACGCTGTAAAGCAAAAGTGGGCTAGCCATTCATACGAATGCACTACCAAACACATAAATCACAGATGGGCAGAATCATCTAAAAAAAAAAAAAAAATGGCTAACATGCCAGGGTTTGCCTGTGTGGGTCGTGAGCCTGTGTCTTTCCAGCGTTACACGTACCAGCTGCATTTGTTAAACTGTATTTCATCCTTTAAATCCCACGTCTGTACCTTACCCTGCCTCAGGACGGATGATTTACTGGAGACATTTGGGGTCACAGTCTAAGCCGCTTGCTCTCACTAAATCTAAATCATGCCTCCCCACAAGAATCTACACACGCGGGAGGAACACACGGCATGCCGTTCCCATCCTCCCCAGAGGAACCCAACGGCCCCCAGGACCGCCCTTCAGTCCACACACGGAGCTTCTCAGACAGGGACGGGGCTGAAGTCACACGCTGCATACGAATTCGGCAAGAGCGCCCCAAAACTTTTTGTTTGGACTCCTGACTAAAGTTCCGGAATTCATTGGATTAAAACAGACATCTTCAGATACACTCAAAAACCCAACCTCACTTCAGCAGCAAGCTGGGAGGAAGGAGAAGTTGACAGCGAAGTATATTCGCATCCTCGTCCCGCCAGTCAACCCGCACCTATGGGATCAGTTCAGCATTTCATGCCAAGACGACAGTGCTTGGCCCACCAACCGAGCAACTAAGACCTGCGAGGACGGGTCTGCTCCTGTGCCTGGGAGGCGGCTGCAGAGGATGGCTGGCCAGCCAGACAGGGAAAAGCTCCCCGGTGGGTGGCCACCAGGTCAGGCCGGGGTGCAGAGCCAGTGAGAAAGGGAGAGAGGAGCGAGCTGAGCTCCCTTCTTGCCCAAAGCCATGGTCAGCGAGCGGCCCGCCTCCCCGGGGCGCGCGGGGCAGCCTGACCTCGGCCTCCGGGTGCAGGGTTCCCTCGGGGAGAGGTCCCAGGAAAGCAGATTTCTCTGGGAAAGAAAACAAACTCCCCGGTTTGGGCATTATGGGTAGGGGGCTGGCGCCCTCTCCCACCCACTACAGCTATCCGAGAGGGGGCCAGTGGCTGAGGGACCAAGAGGCCTCTCCCTGCATCTCTGCCCGGTAGGGGTCACGGGGTCAGGACCCCCCAGCGCAGCCATCCCTTACGGGGGGGGGGGGGCCTCCCAACTTGTGCAGACAGGGCTCTCCACTCCTCAGGACGCAAGCCGGGTTTGGGGGCCAGAAGGGTGTCCAACTTTCCCCTCAGGCGCGGCCTGGCATAGGCACCAAGGAGTTGCCTCGGGAGACCCAACCCGGCGGGGTCCCAGGATTGGGGGGGGGGGGGGTGGGAGGAAAGGCACGGCCAGAGGACGGTGAGACCGAGGGGCGGGAGGGGGGCTGCGTGCAAAGATGGAGGCAGGGACAGAGGGGCCGGACAGCGGGTGAGGGGGCGGCGGGAAGCCGGCTCCCGGGGACGCGCGGGGCGTGCTCCCAGGCCGGGGCGCCGCCGCCGAGGCCCGCGCCGCTCACCTTCCGGTGCTTCTCCTTGTAGGGCAGCGCCAGCCACGGCATGTCCCGCACGAAGTCCTGCCACTGCCGCTGGTCCTGGTCCGAGGACACGAAGACGATCTCCAGGCGGCGCCGCGAGTCCGGCTCCCCGGCCGCCCCGGCCCCCGGCCCCGCTCCTCCGGCTCCGGCCCCGGCCCCGGCCCCGGCCCCGGCCCCGGCCCCGGCCCCGGCCCCCGGCGCGGCCGCCGCGTCCCCCCGCAGGCGGCCGTAGAAGGCGGCCAGGCTGGCGCTGAGCTGCGCGCAGGGGGCGCTCAGGCTGCAGCCGAAGTAGAGCCCGAGCAGCGAGATGCCGCGGGCGCCCAGCGAGTGGACGTCCACCTCCTCGCCGCCGCCCGTCACCAGCTTCTCGCCGAGCAGCTCCTCCAGGAAGCCCGACATCCTGGCCCTCCGCAGCCAGCCCCGGCACCGGCCCCGGGCGCGCAGGCGGCGGCCACCCGCTCCCCTCGGTCCGCGCGGCGGGCGGAGGCGGCGGCAGCAACGGCGGACAGAGGAGAGCCCCGCCCACACGAGGGGAGCCCCGCCCACACGAGGGGAGCCCCGCCCACGCAGGCCGCCCACGCCACGCCCCTCCGACCCGCCCACAAGAAGGGAGCCCCGCTCACTCTGGCCGCTCAGGCCACGCCCCCTCCGTGGTCAGCGCTGCCCGCCGGTCCGCCCCAGCGCTGTCCGCGGCCGCTGGGCACTGGGCGCCGGCTTGCAGCCCCGGCCTGGACGCTGACCAGCACGCTCCGCTCCGACAGGAATGCCTGGCGCCTAATGAAGAGGGAAGGGTCCGCTGAGCCCGCCCTTCTAGGGCCGCTGGACTTAGCCTTACCCTTCCCTCCCAAATTCTCAGTTCGCTCCCGACATCTCCAAAGATCCCCACGGCCCCCCACCCGAGTTCTGTTACCCTTTCTTATTCCTCCCTCCCCCTCTCTCTCCCTGCACCATGCATAGCCCTTCGCCGTCTTGTGCCCCACTGGCCTCCCCCTGGGAAGGCTTATAGAACTTACCACCTTCATGGCAAGTATTTTCTCTGGCCAGGTCTTGCATGACCCTTATTTTTCTGTGAGTGTGTTTTCTATTCTCTAAGAGGATTACTGTATTTCTTGTGTCGTTTCTTTTTTAAATATATTTTATTTATTTTTTACAGAGAGGAAGGGAGAGAGTTAGAAACATCGATCAGCTGCCTCCTGCACACCCCCCACTGGAGATGTGCCCACAACTAAGGCACATGCCCTTGACCAGAATCAAACCTGGGACCTGTCAGTCCTCAGGCCAATACTCTATCCACTGAGCCAAATCGGTTTCGGCTCTTGTGTCATTTCTGATCTGGTGCTAGGCACACATGGGGGATCCATCATACCTGTGGGTGGATCGCAGGTCACCCTGTGGGATTTCAGTCCACAGCCGGCAGTGGCCGGCCGTTGGCCACCAGCAAGTGGCTGTCTTTCATCTCCACTGAGGTATGCTACAGATGCCGCATGCATTTAGGTCAATGCTGGCTGCTCTTCAGAATGCTTCCATCCCTATACCAGGTATGTTGGTCATTGAGAAAAATTCTAGGGAATTTTTTTGTTTCCAGTTGGCAAGACGCTCCCCTATGCTTAGAGAGAACATGGATTAGACAGGTGGTCTGTGGCAAGTCTTCCAGCCACACACACGAAAAATGTAATGTGTACCTCGACCATCCGCACTTAGGACCTTCAATGTGTGTCAGCCCAGAAACCAACAACAAGGTAAAAAGAAAAAAACAAACAAAAAACCGCTCTTCTCAAAGGCTTCCACCGGTCTTTCTGAAGTTATTGATTGGACATTTACCGCCATCTACTGGAAAGAGTGAAAAAAGAAAATGACGAGAAAAAGCTAAATGAGTTCATCACCACCAAACCAGGGTTACATGAAATGCTGAAGGGTATTCTTTAAGAAGAGGAAGAAGAAGAAAAAGGTAAAGGTGAACATTATGAACAACAAAATGACAACAAATACATACCTACCAACAAGTGAATCTAAAAATCAAGTGAATAAAAATATCTGATGAACAGAATGGACTGATGAATATCATGGAATCAGGGAGGGACATAGAGAGTAGAATAATTCTCAGGGGGAAGGGGATCTGAGGGGTGTGGGAAGAGATTGAACAAAAGTCTTATACCTATGGATGAAGACAGAGGCGGGAGGTGGAGGTAAGGGCATGGGGTGGGGTGGGGAATCGGGTGGAGGGGAGCTAAGAGTGGAGGGGAAAGCGGAACACCTGTAATAATCTGAAAAATAAAGATTTTTTTTTTAATGAGATCTTCAGAGCCCAATACTATTTGAAAATAGATCCTTGGCCGCCAAACCGAAATTTTATTCATAGCAGCTTCACACACACACACACACACACAAACACACACACACACACACACACATACACAAATCACAACACGCTTTATTGACTCCGCGTAAACCCCAGATTATAATCATAAGCTTTTGGCACAAATTTTTATGCCTAAGATTCTCAATTTTTCTAGGATAGGACCAGGAATTTTGCTGGTTTTCAGTTCAGTGAAATGATACCACATAAACCTGTGCAGGAAGTGGAGGTGAAAACCAAGAGAAAACTGGCAATCTCTAAAAAATTATGTTCATTTTCTTAGTGTCTAGTTAATATTGCTGCTCGTTTCACAAATAGGATCTCTGAGTTGAGGACCGCCTTTAAGCAAGGAAGAACCACATCACAAAGGCAAATTCTGAGTTAATTTTCAGAGTGTCACGCCAAAATTCTGTGCCATTCAGGGACAGTATTACCGACAGTCCTCAGAGTAGTTCTTGTGGTTACATCGCCATCTCCCATTTATTTATTTTAAAAAAGTGCCGAAACGGGTTTGGCTCAGGGGACGGAGCACCAGCTTGCGGACTGAAGGGTCTTAGGTTTGATTCTGGTCAGGGGCATGTACCTTGGTTGCAGGCACATCCCCAGTAGGGGCTGTGCAGGAGGCAGCTGATGGATGTTTCCCTCTGATCGATGTTTCTTTCTATCCCTCTCCCTTCCTCTCTGTAAAAAATCAATAAAATATAAGAAGTCCAGTCATTTCGACATATGTACATATGTGCTTTATGTTTATTATTTATTTACCACAAGTAAAGATCAGGAATTGTTATCTTTCTTTTAATTTTTTTTTTTTTTTTTACTGTTTCACTTCATTATTGCTGTGTATGTGCTCCATGTGAGCGACATAGAATAGGTGCTTATGTAAGTGGGTTCCAACTTACGATGAAAATCGAATTATGTTGCGCTGTAGGAACAGATCTCCAATGAAACCCAAGGATCCTATGTATTATAAAACATAGGAAGCATCACTTTTTGGTGAAAACGTGTGAAAGCACCCAGCCAGCATGGCTCAGTGGTTGAGCTTCGACCTATGAACCAGAGGTCATGGTTCGATTCCCAGCCAGGGCACATGCCTAGGTTGCAGGCTGGGTCCCCAGTGTGGGACATACAGCCAATCAGTGAATCTCTATCAACACTGACATTTCTATATATCTATCCCTCTCCCTTCCTCTCTGAAATCAATAAAAATATCCTATATAATAAAAGCCTAATATGCAAATTGTTCGACCAGCAGTTCCGCAGCTTGCTATGACGAGCGTTGACCATCAGGGGGGCGGTGCAGAACATGGCGGGGCCACAGCCACCATGACCACAAGAGCCAGTCCGGTTCCCCATGGGTTCCCGTAGGAGTTGTCTGCGAGGCTGATGGGAAGAGCATGCTGTCCACCCGGCTTCTGTGCTGTGCCACTGGGTGGCCCAGAGGCCCACGCTGCACCCTGGCCCACAGCATCCGGCCACACTCACCACACCTGCATGGGGACTCAGGCTGTGACTCAGGGAGAGGGGGGTGTACAGGGTGGCCCCAGGGCCCAGGTGCTGCCCAAGGCCCAGAAGTCAGCTGGGACCTGCTCTTTCACGCCAGATGCTCACCCTTCAATCCCAGACCAGACCTAGGGACTGCGCCCATGTATGAATTTCGTGCACAGGGCCTCTAGTGTATTTATAAGAAAACATGTTAAAGCTATTAAAACAGACATTAAATTATTTGATATCTTCCAATATTCTATAAGTAGATTCATGCTTTAGCTTCTCACCCAAATCCTATTTGAAATGCCTGTGGGTGAGTTATATCAGGCACCCTTGAAAGCATGTGAGACAGATAGATTCCTCTACTCTAACATTTTTCAAGTGAACACTGAAGAAATATGAAATGATGATAAGCTTTTATATCCTACAGAAGCCAAAGGACAATTTGGTGTGGAGGTAGGTGAAGAGGGAATTTGGGGGATTGCAAATTTGGGAAAATAGTGAAGTCATTATTAAAGTACTTAACTTTGGTAAACCAGGAGCAAGCCTGATATAAAGAGGCGGTTTGTTCGGCATTTCACTTTTATTATTTTACAGGAAAGCACTTTCCACTGGAGTGTGTCCAAACCAGCATCTGGCACCTGGGAGAGTGAGAGCCTGAGCAAGCTGCACATGAAATATAAATAAAATTTAGAGAATTGTTGGTGCAGCAGGCCTTGGTTAGAAGCCAAATATCACAGCTGCCTTTTAAAGGGGCGTGGAAAGAGGGGATTTGCAATGGAAATGACTCCAAATTCATAATTCTAGTGGGTGTTTGTTACAAGAGGCCCAAGGAGACTCATTGGGCTTCCTGTAAAGGATAGCCAACATCCTTTGGTGTATGAAAGCACTCTCTCTGCTTATGTACATCAAGAGACACACTTAAAAAGAATGTCCTGCCCAGCTGGTGTGGCTCAGCAGTTGAGCGCGCGCGCGTGTGTGTGTGTGTGTGTGTGTGTGTGTGTGTATGTGTGTGGCTGGGGTGGGGGTGGGAGGGGAGTGCAGGGGTCATACGATCAATGATTCTCTCTGATCACTGATATTTCTATTTCTCTCTTCCTCTCTGAAATAAATAAAAAGAAATATGTAAATATCCTTACTGGCATTTAGTTAGTAAGGTTATATAAATTGACTGGCTATTAAACAATTATTATTGTTTTAAAATAATTATTAAGGAGCAAAGAACATACTAGGCTGCCACTTGTAAATTTTTAACTGGAGAAAAATACATATGCAAACATAATCTTTACATATGCATGACACTTATCTGGAAAGACATGGAGGAAATAGTAACAGATTGCTTGGGGAAGGGAGCTGAAGGAAATACATGTGAGAAAAACATGGAAGCTCTAATTCCAATCCAAGGAAAAAAAAGTACTTCTTGAAATTTCAAATAGGACTTATTTAAAAGATCACACACTACAAGTGGAAGAAAAAAGGTTTAAAGGTCAGCAGGACATCTCAAAATGAAAGCGAAAAAAATGTCTCACACACAAAAATTCAAATTCTGTTACAACAA